CCCCAAACCCATGAGATTTTAAAGATTTATGCAGTCTTACACAAGATTTCAGTGGGGGAAGGCTAAGGCACCTTTTGGGCTTCTGAATGCCTCGAGAATGCCAAATTGCCAAGCCTAGCCTAAACACTGCTAAACAAAATAAGTTTGGAGTAAATCTGTGCTTTGAAAAGAGCAATAAACATAGTGCAAGTTACATCGGAAAACTCGTTCTACATTTAAAAAAATATATATATTTTTTCTAAAATTTAGCACTTCTCTCAAGTTCATGCAAGGAGTTGTTTTATTTCAATACCTTATTTGTCATAGCTTAGAATTATTATCAGAGAACAGAGAACATTTAATATTTTTGCCCACCCAGATTTGTCTGGCTAAACATAATCCAGTGATTTATAGAGCCAGGAAGGAATTTTAACTTTGCATTTGTAAGACTTTTCACTGCATCACATTAATGTAAAAGAAGGTTCAAATGATACCCTCCCCGCTGATAGATATTTTCCAATAAAGATAAGATTCACACTTATACAGAAGTGATACCCATAGCTCATTATCTCGCTTTATTCATCTAACTGCTGAGGACTGACCACAGAAATCACTGAAAATCAATAATGGCCATCAATCAAGTCAAGAAATATATCATCACTGTATCTGCTTTATTTATTTACTGGATTTATGCCCTGCTGCAGTCAATCAACTCTTGATGGCTTACAATGAAATGACAATTTAAACATCTACGTGAAATACCAATATACATGACAATGAATAAAAGAGAAGGAAATATGGCACAATAAATTAACTCAGCAAAATCATGAAAATGGTCTCTGGAATAATTCACTTTTTAGTAGTTTCCTATTAAGGCCAGAAGGGAGGGAGTGTGGAAGGATAGACTGCCTGAGCAGCTTAAAAACACCTGTGTTCCTTCCTCTGCCCCCCTTCTTGGCCCTCCCCCACTGTCAGGACAACCCAACTGCCAGTCAAACTGCAGTACTGGGCAGGAGGAGGAGGGCAGACAAGATGGCTGCCTGGAAGCTCTGCCCTTGCGAGGAAGAAGTGGCTGAATAAACAGAGCCGAAGCCCAGGAGTCAAACTAATGAGGCAAACTAAAAGATGAGAAGAGGCTACAAGAAAGGAGGCAGCAGCTGAGAAAACTCGGGGGAGTTGTTTATTTCCTTCCCTCAGAGCCAGCATGAGGTAAAAGTTCTTCGAGCTGTTTCCTTCAGATGGAATAAAGATTCAGAAAAAGAAAAGAAGAGTCAAGAAGCCCAGCCAGAAACAAACAAGCAGAAAAGATGAGGAAAAAGTAAAGGCTTTGACAGAACAGAAATAGCAAATAGAAACTAAAAAAGATAAAACAAGATTGAACTCTGTAGAAAAAGATGTATAACTCTACAGAGGGTGACAAAAGAGATATACCAGGATTAAGACAACAAAAATACAGAAGTTAGCCATAAACAAATATATTGGAGATACAGAATAGAAAGATACGAAAATATAGTGAAATTGGACTTTAAAGAAAATAGTGTAGATAAAGAGCTTATAGATAATAATTAAAATAGAAAACAGTTTTATTATTAAGATTCATTTCTGCACTAGTCAAAGGCATTTATAATTTACAATATTCCTCTTTTATTTGTAAGTTTTCCTTTTGTAAAATAAAAGTCTCCCTCCAGCCACTGAAGGGAAATACAAAAACCCAATCAATTTCCAGTGTTTTGTGTCTACTGAGTCTGGGTCAGTCTGGTTATTGGTGATTCAGAAAAAGAACCTGCAACAGGGAGCAAGTTTGATCTTCAATGGGAGGCCATTCTAAAGCAACAGTGCCACTACAGAGAAGCAGCGCCACCTAGCCTCAGCTCTCCTCATTCTCAGAAGAGTGGTTCTTTCTGTTAGAAACATAACCTTCCAAAAATTGTTTGAAAAACATTATTGAAGTAGATACTAGTACAGTCCCCAGGTTGAGAACAAGTTCCATTCCTAAGCCTGTCCTTAACTCAAATTTGTATGTAAGACAGAACTTGTACTTACGAACAGGTTGCCTGTTACTAAAAATGGCGGGCAGCATTATCCTTCCTGGAGCCAACAAACTGCTGAAGCCGTGCAATGTTTTCATGAACCGCTGAAAACTGATGAAAACAGGCTGCACATTAAAAACGTGCAGCTTCAGTAGTTTGTCAGCTCCAGGAAGGAGAATATTGTCCACCGTTTTTAGTAACAGGCAACCTGTTCATAAATATGAGTTGTCCATAACTCAGACATTCTTAACCCGGGGATTGCCTGTATAAAATATTTATGCTAAGCAGTGAACCTGGATGTAAGTGCGAGCTGGTTGCCAAGCACCTAGATCGTGATCACGTGACCACGGGGGTCCTGGGACAAACAGAACTTCAAGGGCCAGTCATAACCACCACTTGTTCAGTGCCGTCGTAACTCTGAATGGTCACTGAACAAGTGATCATTAACTGAGGACCTCCTGTACTTTCTCTTTTCTCAGAGCTCAAGGCAAGCTTCTGAACTTTTTGGTTTCTGAATGTTTTCCCCAAAGTCATCCCCTTGGCTCCCTACATTCAGAGAGCAAAAGATTATCTTAAATTATTTCAGATAAGCCCTAAAGCTGGGACACACCATGGAAGATACAAAGTTTTTTTCTTCCATCAGCTTTTTATTTTATACTGTATTGCCATTCATTTCTGGAACTCCATCATTTCAAAAAACAGTCTAAGTTTGCACAACAACTAAGGGACTGCCATAAGTGGATTAAAAACATAGAAATACCTTCTCTTTTGTCACCCTGACTGAATTCAGCATGAGGAAATACTTTATGTAAAACAGCCAGGATTTCATTGAAGGTTCTTTCCAACAATGGCCTTATGATGGGAGATAGAGCATGCCCTGATGATGTTACAGCACGTTGAGAAGCAGGCACGATATTCTGCATTGCATGATAGAAGTCTTGTGCACTGAGAACTATTGAAGAAACATCAAGCTGTAATTTTTGACTGCTCGCATAGATCTGAGGATAGCGCCGTCGCAGGGCAATCAAGGCAGCTTCAGTACAAAGTGCTTTTATGTCAGCGCCACAGTATCCTAAGGCATGAAAATAAAACATACATTGGTTCTATTAAGCAGTATCAATATTTTGTGTATGTCAAGCACGTCCACAAAGCTGAACACAAGCTGCACCACGCTAATAGATTCATACTGCACTGTGTATCTTAGGATATCTAAGGAAATAAATATTGAAATCCTCTTTTAAACAATAATCAAGAATTAGTGCAAAGAAACTTATGAGAGTAAGTCTAGGAACCTATAAGAAAAGGGTGAAATATACACACCCAATTAATCTTAATATAAGTATATGTATAGACTACTTTACTAGGATTGTATCCAAACTAGCTAGCTAATAAAGCAGTAATTATGACAAAATGGATTCTTCTTCCATACCAAAATGTCCTCCAGGAATTGAGGACCATGCCAGAATAGATCAGGCAGGAGGGGATTCAAGAATTTTGTCATTTCACATATCATTGCATATAGGTACATATAAGTACAGAAATCAATTTCAGGAAGATATTTGGCAACAAAGTCTCCACTAAGTTAATAAAAAAAAGAGAATCTTTGCTTTGGGTTCACAGGGAAGAATTTCTCTTTTATACACTGAAAGCTCAGTAGCTAAACAAGGTGATGAGTTCTGTCTCTCTGCTTCCATGGTAACTATTTAATGATCATCCTCTCCAAAGATCAAGGACCAACCTCACTGCTAAAGTCTAGGTCTCATGGATCATTCTCTGAACAGCTACAGTTAATGTGATCCTACAAACCTTTCACAAAGACTCAAATTGTTTAGATTGCTTTATCATTTAGACTGGAGTACCTTGCAAGATCTGAACAAAATAAGGTGGTTTGGAAACCTAACTCAATTTTATTTCTACTGGCTGAGGTCCAGAAACTGGGATTTTACCCAGGGATGCTCCAGTGTAAATGGGGGAAAATCCCCATTTCAAAATCCATGTCCTTTCATAGTTTTTGCTATCAGTAAATGCTATAGCAAACCTTACACCTAATTTCTGTGCCTTATTAATCACAGTTGCTAGCTCTCCATGGAATTTTAAGAACAGAACATAATTAGCTTATGGCTCATTTTCACAATTTAATTGTCAGGAGATGTGATCTAAAATTAAGCACTATCTACCTTCCTTTTGGAACAAATTACATTCCAACTTGTTTCCTCTTAGGGCAACTCAAGAAACTTTTTTGCCCAACAAAATAAGTGCAAGCTTCCAAACAAAAATTAGAAGCTTATATAATGAAATACACAACACCTAAAACAAAATTTGTAAAACTTGGCTGTAATAATTTATTTTTATGCCTGCAGTGTGGTATTTTACCATTCCTCCTCACTGACAACTGATATCTTAGTGGATATGGAAGTACTTTTCATTACTGGGTGGTAGTAAAAGCTATCAGATTATAAAGCTCCCTTTTGAAACTTTTTAGACAAAAAAAAGGTAACTACTGTCATCCACTGTCATATCTCTTGCTTACTCATCATCCATTGGTAATATTCTGTATCTGGATATACTGCCCCTGGAGGCTGCTAAAATAGGCTGTTTCTGGATGAGTAGGCCCTCTAATTAAAACCCAGGTGATGCAATGTTCAAACTTATAGCTGGAGCTATAGACTACTAGGCAAAATACACTAGTTTATCTGGAGAAAGAATGAAGTTACTTACCTCACTGCTATAGTGGAAAGCAGAAATAGGCAACCAGGTCCCTTCCCCCTCCAGAATATTGAACTATCACTCTCATAGTTCTTTGTCACTGGTTAGCTAGCTGAGTTTGATGAAAGTTTAAGTTCAAAACCTCTGTGAGGGACCAGATTGCCTACTCCTGGTTATGAGCTATATCATCCTAGAAACATTATGAACTAAAGTTTTTATGTAACTCATTATAAAACAAGGACCCAATAAACTGCCGAATTGTCAGAAACAGTATAAGAGGGTACTACTTAATTGGTACTGTAAAACATTGCTACAAATTTTTGAGAAAAAAATCATATTAAAATGAATTAATGTATCTTTACAAAACTACAAAACAATTGTCAGAGATGGCAAAACTGCTTAAAGAGAGGACACTGTCTAGCTTTGTTTCTCATTGGAAACCACTCTTGGACTTTTTGCTTGACACTCAAAAAAATGTAATTTGGATTTCGGGATTCGATGATTGATGTTATACCTATAGAAATATCTTGTACAAATCATATGTATTGTTGAAATAGATTGATTCTATGATTTTTTTTTGAATG